GACCTCCTGCTCTAGGATCAACAGAAAAAAAAAAAAAAATGGCATCACTTATGCTAAAGTTTCCTGCCACCAAACTGAAACTAAGTTGTTTATCTGACCTTCAAAGAAAACAGGAGAGAGAGAGATAATGGCCAAATCCCCAAATAGGCCAGTTTTAGCCAGCATGATAAGGAAGTCCCTCTGCTTTAACCCTTACAAGGAAAGTTACCTGATGCTAACCAGCCGCTTTTCGTTCTGATTCTGCTTTCTTCAGCCCTTCTCTACTTGTAAAGCCAACCTCCTCTGCTCAGCTCATCAGAGCACCTTTTCTCAGCTTTGAGAGAAAAATGCTACCCAGATTCATGAATCACAAATAACACCCAACTAGATCATTTAACTAAATTTGTCATAATTTTGTGTTTTGATAGAGGGCTAATAATCGTCCAGCCTTCAGACCCCAGCCGCGGTACCTTCACCTCCTGCCAGTGCTCCAGGCTTCCTGAGGTGCAGCCTGGCTGGGACCTGGAAATTCCCAACCCCACACGCCACCACCCCGGGAAGGAAGCAGGGACTGGCCACAAAGTGTCTTTACTGCGTGCCATCTGATTGCAAACAGAACTGGGCTTTCCAAGAGAAACCGAGGAGGGCAGTGGAGAGCTTTTATCTTTGTAACTGAATTGTTTTTCACCTGATTCACGATTTGTCCTTAACATTCCAAATTCTCATCAGGGCTCCAGAAACGAGAAAGAGAATGGCCACAGAGGCCAGGGGCTTAGGGCTTGGTGGACCAGGGATGCTGCGGGGGGATTAGGCTTGCGGTGAGAGAGGCGCTGGCTTTTACTCTCCCCAAAACAGGGGTGCAAGTCTCCCAAGAGAAAGCAGGGGGTCCCAGGTTAGATTAGCGCCTCCAGGCCAGCCCGCTCCCCACGCTCTACCCCCAACACCTTCTCCCTTAGGTTTTCTTCCTCCAGGGCACACAGAAGAGTGGACTTCTGGCAACTGTCGCCCCCTGGGGGTCCCCGCCGGGACAGCAGGGCAGAGGCCTGAGAAAGTGCAGTCAGGGGCCAGCAATCCATGGGCAGTGTAAGATCACGGTCCTGTGGCCCCTGAAATCTTCTGGGAGCCCAGGTGGCCAGGATAGAGGAGCCATAGAGGAAGGAGAAGGAGGAAAGAGAGAATAAAAGAAAAAAGAAAGTGACCAAAGAAGGGGAGGCTGGGAGGCTAGGAAGAGGACAGAGAGCCCTAACTCCCTGGGGAAGACCTGGGAACATTAAGAAAGTAGCCCGGGATTGCTGGCTAGGAGGATGCTGGTGTGTCTCTGGGGAGTAGGCTCCTTCCCACCTTATGCAACTCAAAGGTCTGAGCCTCAGCAATGGGCTTGCCTCTGCCCTCCAAGCAGCTCTCTAGATTCAGTGTCCTGGACCCATTGAGGGGTTCTTCCTTTGAAGCAGCAGAGTGAGGCCCTGGCTGGACCTCCTAAGTCGGCTGTACGCGTTTCGCATAGCTACTCACCTGCCTGCAGCCCAGCCTGCACCCCAACAGTCGAGAGGGCTCTGGTCCACAGAGGTGAGGCCTACAGAGGGCAGTGCCCCTCCTGCACCTGCCTCTGGCTGCGAGCTGCAGGATGTGGTCAGGAGAGGAAGCGAGGCCTAGGCCCGAGTCATTCTGGGGTTTCCAGAGAGCTTCTCACCGAGGGCATTGGCAGGGCACTGTCTGGGTCTAGGCGCGCCTCCCTCTCCTCATCTGGCCCCTGGAGCAAGAGGGAGGTGAAGGGGAGAGTGGAGAAGTTGAACCTCCTCCCCCCCTTCCTCTGCCTGGCCAGAGGGCCTGAGGATTGCGAAGCTGGATCAGGATAGCGCCCTCCGGGCGGGGAGAGGGCTGGGTGAGTCCCTCTACTGTGTATGGGGGAGGACAGTGCTTCAGGGTGTGCGCAGCTGCCAAGCTGCCATGCAGCTTTCAGAAGCTCGGCTAAGGACACCCAATTCTGCTCCCTTTCTCCTCCTCAGCAAGAACTCGAAGTTTTCCCCCACTTCACCTCCACTTCCCAGAACTCCCCATCTGATGGGGAATGCTTGCCCCTTTAGACAAAGTAGGAAGGAGAGAAAGCTGATGGGGGTGTAGGGGCCTCTCCCAAACTGTATCTCCTTCGTCCCCCTCCATGGGCTGAGCAGTCAGTTTCCAACAAGGGCTCTGGTTTGTGCCTCCATGATGCCTGTTTCTCAGGCCCTCAACCTCCTCCCTCCACCTTTCACCCACCCTCACCGCACTGCCACAACAGGAGTCCAGGCCCCATGCCCTCGCCTGCACCCCTGCCGGCCATGCTTTTGCCCCGCCCCACCACTGGCACACCATTCATCTTCTAAAGGTGAGTCTGCCCAGTTCATCTCCTGGGTCAACCTTTGTCCGCAGTGTGATGGTTAACCTTACATGTCAACTTGGCTAGGTCTGTTGCCCAGGTATTTGGTTAAACAATTTTTTAGACGTTTCTTTCTTTTTTTTTTTTTTTTGAGATGGAGTCTTGCTCTGTTGCTCAGGCTGGAGTATGATGGCGTGATCTCGGCTCACTGCAACCTCCGCCTCCCAGGTTCAAGCAATTCTCCTGCCTCAGCCTCCCAAGTAGCTGGGACTACAGATGCCTGCCACCATGCCCGGCTGACTCTTGTATTTATTGGAGAAACGGGGTTTCACCATATTGTCCAGGCTGGTCTCAAACTCCTGACCCTGTGATCTGCCCGCCTCAGCCTCCCAAAGTGTTAGGATTACAGGCGTGAGCCACTGCGCCCACCTTTTAGATGTTTCTTGAAGATGTTTTGTTGTTTTTGTGTGTGTGTGTGTGTGTGTGTGTGTGTGTGTGTGTGTGTTTAGATGAAATTAACATTGAAATCAATAGACTTCGAGTAAAGCCGATGACCCTCCAATCTGTGGAAGGCCTGGTTGCAGCAAGGTCTGACCTCCCTGGAGCAAGAATGAATCCTGCCAGCAGGTTGCCTTCGAACTTGAAGTCCAGCTCTTCCCTGGGTCTCCAGCCTGAGAGTCTATCCTGCAGATTCTGGATGTGCCAGCTTCCACAATCCCATGAGCCACTTCCTTAAAATCAACCAATCTCTCTCACTCTTCCTCTCTAGATACAGCTATCTATTTACCTATCTGTAATACACATCTGACTGGTTCTGTTTCTCAGAGAAAACTGATTAATTCAAGTAGTTTCTCTTCAATTTCAATATAAAAATCTTAAATCCTCACCTAGCCCACAAGGCTCTCAGTCAACTTAGCCCATATAATGCGTTTGTACAAATTAGAAAAAGCCACCCCTTCTAGGCAGATACGGCTCTGACCAAACACAGGGCGGGGTGGGTGGAGAACGTGAACCTTCGCTCTTGGTATGGTGCACAACCTGGGCAACAACATGGAGCTGCCTTACTTTTGCTTGTTTGTTGTGTGTGTGTGTGTGTGTGTTTTTCTAAATTGAGACGGAGTCTCGCTCTGTTGCTCAGGCTGGAGTGCAATGGAGTGATCTCAACTCACTGCAACCTCTGCCGCAGGGGTTCAATTGATTACCGTGCCTTAGCCTCCCAAGCAGCTGGGACTACAGGCACCAGGCATCACGTGGCTATTTTTTTTTTTTTTTTTGTATTTTTAATAGAGATGGGGTTTTGCCATGTTCACCAGGCCATTCTCCAACTCCTGACCTCAAGTGATCTGCCCGCCTTGGCCTCCCAAAGTTCTGGGATTACAAGTGTGAGCCACCTCGCTGGGTGTTTGTTGTGGGTTGTTTTTTTGTTTTGTTTTGTTTTGTTTTGAGACGGAGTGTTGCTCTGTTGCCAGGCTGGAGTGCAGTGGTGCAATCTCAGTTAGCTGCAACCCCTGCCTCCCGGTTTCAAGCGATTCTCCTGCCTCAGCCTCACGAGCAGCTGGGAACTACAGGTACTTGCCACCATGCCCAGCTAAATTTTGTATTTTTAGTAGAGACGAGATGTCACTGTATTGGCCAGGCTGGTCTTGAACTCCTTACCTCATGATCCGCCTGCCTCAGCCTCTCAAAGTGCTGGGATTACAGGCGTGAGCCACCACGCACGGCCTGTTGTGTGTTTTTGAGACAGGGTTTTGCCCTGTCTCCTAGGCTGGAGAGCATTCTGGGCATGTCAGCTCACTACAACCTCCGGCTCCCTGTTCAAGTGATCTTCCCACCTCAGCTTCCCAAGTAGCTGGGACTACAGGTGTGTGCCACCGCTCCTGGCCAATTTCTTTGATTTTTTGGTAGAGACAGGTTTCACGATATTGCCCAGGCTGATCTCCAACTCCTGACCTCAAGCAAGGCCTCCCAAGGTGCTGGGACTACAGGCGTGAGCCTCTGCACCTGGCTGCCTGCTTCTGGATGAGTCCCTGACTGCCGCATTAGCCTCATCTCTCCTCCATGTGCTTTCCCTTTACCCCGTTCTCTTCCCAAACGCTAGCTCCCCTGCAGCTCTTAGAACCCTGTGTGCTCCCTTGCCGCTGTGCTTTAGCACACCTGTCACTGCTGTTGGAGTTCCCCTCTTATCTTCTGGTGTTGCTTCCTCTGGCCAAGCTTTGCCGAGGCTCAGCCTGCGTCAGCCTCCTGTCTCCTGGCCCGGGGTCCCAGCCCTTATTCAGGTACTGTGCTGCTTCCTCACTCGTCTAGACTGGGGAATCCTCCAGTGAAGGGGCTTGAGCTTGGATCCATCGTGCCGGGCACTAGTAGGTGCTCAGTAAATGTTTATTGAACAAGTGAATGAATGACTGGATGGGGACACAGCAGCTCGCAGCGGGCAGCAGGAGGCGCTCCCCGGGGGGGCGCCCCTTCCGTTTAGCCAGCCGGAGTTCAGCCAGCGGGCCCGGCGGGAGGAGTGGGCCGGGGCCGGGGCTGGGGAAGGGCTGCCAAGCCCGCGCCACCCGCATGCTGGGGCTCCGCGGCCCGCAGCGCCGCACAGCGAGGGGGAGGGCGCCTGCGGGGAGGAGCGGGTCGGGGGAGCGCGCTTCCGCGGGCTCCTTTCATTCTTCCACTCGGGGGTCTCCAGGAATGAAAGCTGGCCCCGGTCAGGCCGGAGCGCGCGAATGAAAGGCGGCACTGGGACCGAGAGAGGAGCCTCGTCCCGCCCGGGCTGCGGAAACTGGAGGCGCCGGGGGTGTCCCGCCGCGCGGGCGTCCGAACGCGGGGGAAACGGGACAGCCTGTCCCCTCGAGCGGCTGCCCCCGCCGTTCGCGGACCTCTGAGGGGACCTCGTCACCCCCGCTAGCGGCCCCGCCCCGACTTTTGAATCGGTCTCTCCAGTCCCTCCTTGCGTCTTCCCCTCTTTCCTCGGGGCCTTGGTACGCCCCAGGGGACAGATGTCTTGGGATCTTTAACATTTGGGATGCTGCAAATGCCGAAGTTAAATGAAATACCTCCGGGGAGGGCAGGCCGCGGGGAGGCTCGGGGGGAGGGAAGATGGCCTGGACGGACAGGTCCTGAAGCTGCGAGGCTGGAGCGGAGGGCGCAGGGGCAGGCGGGCGGCGCCAGTGCTCCATGGGACAGGTAAGCGGGAAAACTTCGGGGCACCCAGCGCGGGTGAACTGGGGCGGGGGATCGGGCCCCTGAGCCCACAGTCTTCAGCCTCAGCGGAGGGCACCCTACAGGGAATGGGGTAATTTTATCAACGGGGCGGGAATTCTGAGCTCCTACCAAAAATGCTCACTTCCAGCCCCTCCACCTTTCTCCTTCGACCTTCTTCGTGCCTGTGGATCCTCCTGGCCAGGTTCCGGGAAGCCAGAAAGCAGCCAAACAAAAGGAGCAAAGTCTCGGGCCAGCCTGGATGTGGAGGGCGCGGTGGGGGAGGGGAGCAGGGTGGACAGGACAAAGGGGCTTTTTAGAGAAAGCCTAGAGGTCTCATTTCAGGGCGCATTCCAGACTGGCTTGGAGTTCCCCTGTCCCAGCCCACTCCACCTTCGCTTAGTGGAGGCGAACCACCTTTCCTAGTGGGCCAGGAGCAGAGGCCAGTAAGAAAACCGCGGAGGAACCATCTCCTACCCCTCTTGCCTGGAGGGTCCCGGGCTATTTCACTCCTTCCTCTTCACTGTTGGCTCTAGCAGCTGACCATTGATTCCTTAATTCATGAAGTAAGATTTTAGCAGGGTCTGAGACTACTTTGCTGGGGGCTGTTGGGGATGTGAAGATGGTAGGACCAGGCCCTTGCTTTAAAGAACTTCCAATCTGGTTTTATCAGAAGATGCTAAAAGAAGGAACTTTTAAAAAATGGAGAGTGGATGGCTACAGCGCTGGGGAAGAGTTTTCTGATTTGGAACTTTTCCTTAGGAGATGAAAACGCTAAAGAGGTCCAGTTTATCCTCCCTGGGGAAGGGCTCTTGTCTGCAAAGATCAGATTCCAAATACTGCAATGTTTTGCAAGGAAATACCACTTCCTCACCAACGGGTGGTCTGGACGGCGCTCTGGGGTTTGGGGCTGGGGCATCAGTCCCCGACCCGCTGGCCTGGCTGGAGTACGGGCTGTTTCAGACTCTCAGCTGGCCTCTGGAGTGCCCACTCCACCATCGGTATTTTGAGTTGAATGACATGGCCCTCAGAGAGTTCCAGGGATGGTTCCCGGGGTTCCTGGCAGGAGGGTGGGTTTGCCAGCCCCCTTCCAGGCCTCAGATTCTGCAGGGTCGGGAAATATTGAGTGTGAATTTGGGGGAGCAAGGCGTTTCTGAGATTTCCAAAGGATCCAGGCAAACAGTGAGATTGAGCATCTGTACTAATCTCCCCTGAAGTCACAGGTGGTGGATTACCTGAGGGCAGGGATTCTTAACTGGGTTGCGGGGAGGGGGTGGGGTGGGGGGGTGGGGGGGGAGGGAGCATTAGGCATCAGTAGACAGCATTCAGAGGGTTTGTAACCCAGGTGAGGAAACAAAGGATATCTTCGTTTTTCACCCACCTTTAACAGATGGTAACATCACCTTTAGTTATTGATAAGACAACAAATCACAGTAGCATTGGCAGTACCTGTGGCTTTGCCATTAATAGAATTCACAGTTTAGTATCACATGGCAGTCGTGGCTATCTTGAAATACTGTTTGCACTCGGCCATTGTGTGAAATTACCCACTGCTAGACCCTGCTTAATGTTAATAAAGAAGTATATATATTGCTATATTTTTAGAACTGTATTTTATGTAATTGATTTTTAAAGTAATCGTCTTAATTTTATGCATTAAGAAATGTGAGCTATGAGCCTATTCCAGAAACTTCCACCAACCCCCACCTGGTGCTGGGGGTAGGCAAGGTGGAGGAAGGGCTGCTTATACCCAGTCAACCCCTCTCTGTTTGACTTTCGAAGAAAGTGCCAAGCCTTGATGGGGAGGGAGAGGGGGAGGGACTGAGTGTTGGGGAGGGACTGTGTGTGGTGGAGGACTCAGGGAAGGGCAGGGCTGCAGGCTCTTTGGGACACCCAGAGAACAAGCTCCCCATGGGGTGAGGAGATGAGGATCTGTCCCCTGTTAGGGCCCCTCAGCCTCAGCCTGGGGAGAAAATGAAGCGGTCAGCCTGGTGTACGCTGGGGCTAGCATTGTTTGGAAGGTGGGTGTGTACAGGAATGTGAAGGTGTGCTGGGTGTGTGTACAGGAGCAGTGGGGGATGCTGGCGGACTCCAGCTCCACAGGAGATGCTTGCTGAAAGCAAACTTCCTCTGCTATCCCTGCACTGGGGGTGGGGAGTAGGGCAGGGCTCTTTAGGGGCCGGGGGAGGGGAAGCAATCCAGACATATATTGAGGCACTGGAATCTGGGTGGGGGGAACGGTGGGAAGATCAGGGAGTGGGGTGAAAGGGAGGTGGTGGGGTGGGATTCAGACTTGAGGGGTGCAGCCTGTGTATTCCAGCCTGCTGGGGACAGGTAACAGTCAGGTTTAGCTCTGCTTTTCCCTATGAAATGGATTCCAGTTTTCCATTTGCTTGGGGGTTGGTGGGATGGGAGACCTTGAGGCTTATTTTTTTGTAGGAAATAAGTTCCATTTTGGTCTCTGGGGCCTTGTGTTTGGGGGATGGGCTTGGGGTCCGGGGTCACAGTGGACCTCCTGTGGAGTAGGGAACAGGACTTTGTCCCAGGTCAGTGCCTGTCATTGCCCCATGAACATGTTGGTCCGGGATGAATGTAAATAATAAACAGGGAAGTGATGGCCTTGATACCCCCAGGGGAAAATGTCTGGGATAGAAAGAACAGCATGATCCTCCCTCTCTAGGATTCTAGAGCTTCTGCATATTGGAATTCCAGCTGCCTTCACTGAGGTTTTAAAATCCTCATTTGAGAGAGACAAAACCCAGGGTTTGGTCTTCATTTCCGTATATGGGGAAGAGCAATGACCCATCCTTGTCAGTTTGTAAATTTCCTACTTGTTTTTTCCATGGACAGTGAACATTTCACCCTTCTTTTGTGGGGCTTAACAGGCCTCGATTTCTGGAAAGAGAAACTGAGGTCAAAGGAAGGCAGGGCTGGAGGGTACTCAGATACCTCACCGCTCAGAACATTGTACTAAGGTCTCTTGAGGCCACGAAGACATGACTCTTGTTTTCTTCTTTGGGGATTCCTCCATGGGAGCCCCTTTTTCCCTGCTACCCTCCTGCCCCCCGGAAGTGCAGAGGCCCAGGTGCTGCCTGCCGGCACCAGTTGCACGGGATTAGTTCAGGGAAGGACTTGCTCACCTGCTCCTCCCCTCTGACTCAAGTCATAACAAGTAATCTGGTTCCCCTGGCCCGGCAGCCTGGGAGGGACGGCAAGGTGGGCAGGTGAGCCGAGAGGGACGGCCAGCAGCCCCATCGGTCGGAGGGAGAGCACAGGCCTGTGGCCTGGGAGACCCTGAGGTGACATGCGAGGCCCCTGCGCCTCCTGACTGGGAACACAGGCTGTTTCTGGAACTCCTGGACTAAAGCCCAGAAGCAGGTGAGGGCGGGGTGGGTGGAATGGGTCTTTGGGGCTGAGAGCAAGCTGGGCTAGGCATGCTGGAGCCCAGGCAGTGGCCATCACCCCCCTCTGACCCCTCACCACCGCCAGCTATGTCTGGGGTGTGGGGATGACAGAGGGGTGCTGGTGGGCTTGGATGGGAGCCTGTTCCTGTGGCTCCCCAGGCCTTAGCTTCCACTGGAGAGAGGGCAAGCAGAGATGAGCGGGGGCAGGCAGGCCGGAGACCTGGCTTTGGGGGACACTTGGGATACAGAAGGATCCCCATGGCCCTGCCAGAGGGAAGGTGCTCTGGAGTTTCCCTCCCTCCGTCTGTCCCCCTTCTGGTCTCCTCTGCCTTTTTCTGGAGACATTGTTCAGCCGGATGGGCTGCTTCTTAGGGCCCAGTACTGGGGCTTGAAGAGGCCCAGGAGGGATCCCTGTGTTGGGGAGGGGGTGGGGATGTCACCTGAACTGCCTTTATCTAAAAGCAATGCCTAGACACCTAAGACTCACAGCCTCTTGGGTGGGGGCAGCGCCCTCACCCTCGCCTGTGGACTCAGGGAGGTTCCCTACAGCTGTGGAGGGCGACCTCGGCAGAGGCAGATGTGGGGGTCTGCTACGTGGCTGAGTGGGTTTCTTTCTTGGCCTGATGTGGTCCAAGAGGTCCAGATTCAGGCCAGGGTCCTGGAAAGAGCCTTAGACACTGTGCACAGGAGGAAAGGAAGCGCAGGGAGGCCCGGTGACTTCCCCAAGGGAGCACAGGCTGCAGTAGAACCGAGCCTGGAAACCACAACCCGGCTCTGGGCTTGCGATGCTGCTCTCTTTGCTCTACATGGGGTGACAGGTCATCGCAGAGGGGACCCAGCATCAGCCTGGGACCACCGGGAATATCAGTGCCTCCCCTTTGACCCTGGCAGTGAGAGACTGGGCTGAGCTGGGAGAAGAGGAAGCTGGCAGAGGCACGAGGCGAGCTAAGGCACCCTCTGTCCCTGTAAGTCCCCGCTTCGCTGCAACAGTCTCAGAGCCCCTGAGAAGCAGGGGCTGAGTTGGCCCAACTTTCCAAGGGAACCACTTAGTGGTTAATAATTAATTAGCAAGCGTGACTAATTAATGGCTTCCCCTCCCACATTGCTTCCTCCTCTTGTCCAAAGCAGACACACTCAGCATGCTAGCGGAGACCACTTGCTTCCCAGCTGTGGCTGCACCCTGCCCTTGGCTTCTGGGGAGGGTGGGAGGATGGCTAGGGTAGGTGGAAAGAGGGGTGAGCCGCCTGCTTCTCTGTCTGTTCTTATCTCTAGGAGGGATAGAGTTCGGGACAGATGGATGGCTCAGAGCTAACAGTCATTCTAAGTACCCTGGCAGGGTAGGGTCCCAGAATATATGGCCAATCTTTCTCTTTGGCATGTTTGCAAAGGCCTCCCATAAACATTAAAAAAAAAAAAAAAAATCAAACCTCTCCCATGCATTCTCTAGACTGCCTTGGATAATTGAAATTCCGAAATGCAAGGTACACGTTGCTTTCAGGGTTGCGTGTTTGATTGTTACTGCCTGTGGTTGTTTATGTAGGTCTATAAAAGTTCTTGATCATCCTGCTCTTTCCATCTTGATGGGTGAGAGGCATCTCGGGAGACCCCGGAGACCGGCTGACAGCAGCCCCCTCTCTCTGTGGGCCTTGCTTTGTCACCAGCTTTCCCAAGGCCGACTTTTCTGTTGTGTTGGCTGCCTGCAGAAGGGTGGAGCTCACCTCCCCCACCCTGTGGCCCGAGCTCTGAGGAGGCAGGATAGGCTCCAGACAGAAACTCGGAAGGACTTTTGGACTCTTGCTCAATGGGCTGACTCAGTGAGGAGGTGGCTGGGCTCTCTTTCCAAGACCCGACCGCCTGCATGGGCTCCGCCCACCCCTGCCATAGCTAGCAGCTGCCAGGCCCCGGCCAGCTGGGACCCCAGTCTGGGGTGTGGGTTGGTGCGGAGAGGGAGGGGGCGGGCACAGGTGTTATTTGGGTGACTGGTCCCCAGCTGAGCTGACACAATGGGATGGCACCTGTACCACCCAAGTGCTCTTCAGCCAGAAGCAGGCAGTGGAGCAGGTGATCTCCTTTCTGTTCCTGCGAAGCTTCTGCTCTAGTCACTGCTCACCCCCAACCTGTCAACTCCTGGAAACCCTGACGGACACAGCCCTGGGTCTCCCCTGGCTGCGGGGTGTAGGGGATCCAGGCTGATTCCCCTCGAAGGGTCTCCTAGAAGTAACAGGTGGCTTGAAAGTTGTTGTTAGAGGGCTTTGGGACAGCTCTCCAGCATAGAGTGGCTGCATGTGTCTATAGATGTGAAGTTCAGAGTCTGGGATGCCAATTCAGAGAGCAGGCATCCTGGGCTTTGGAGGCCCCAGTCCAGGCTCTTGGCCATGTGCCTTCCCAGCGACCAGCTACTTCCTGAAGTGCCCTTGGCCACTGAGTCAGCAGGACATGCCTCACACCTCCTGGGTTCTTGGGTTGAGGATAGCTGTGTCCCATGACGATGGTGATGTCTTCCCCTTCTCCTCTTTTTTTTTTTTTTTTTTTTTTTTTTGGAGACAGGGTCTCTCTGCTCCCCAGGCTGGAGTACAATGGCACGAACACAGCTCACTGCATCTTTGACCTCTCCAGCCTCAGGCGATCCTCCTGCCTCAGCCTCCTGCGTAGCTGGGACTAGGGTGCACACTGCCACGCCCGGCTAATTTTTATTTTTGTAGAGATGGGCTCTAAGTTGCCCAGGCTGGCCTTGAACTCCTGGGCTCAAGCAATCGTCCCGCCTCGGTCTCCAGAAATGCTGGCCTTACAGGCGGGAGCCACCATGCTGGACCCCCTTCCTCCTTTCTTTGTCACCCCACCCCATTTTTTCTCCTCTCTGCTCTTTTCCTTCTTGCCCTTCTCCCCAGTCCAGTGGCTCTTGTGGCTGCCACTGCTGTCGATCTCCTTGGGCCTAGAGGACTTTGGCCCAGAGGGGAGCTAGGCTGGGCCCCTGAGAGCCCACTGAGAACAGGGTTTGCTGGTGAGGCCACAGCCGCTTCTCTCAGGCGGCAGCCCCAGTGCCAGAATCCCCCGCCCTAGATGGTTCCCGAAGTGCAGCCCTCCCTCCCACTCCCCTGCTCTCAAGCATCTCTCAAGCTTTCTGTAAGCAAGAGCGTTCATATCTAGCTTTTTTGTTCTTGTCCTCTTTTCTCTTTAAAGCTGGGAAAATTCCAGGCTACCTACACATCCTGGCCCAGGCTGGTCACGGTGTCCCCCCTCCCTGCTCTGTGCCTTCTCCTCCCAGAAATCCACCATGGAGAGTAAGGAGGAGGTCAGCGACACCGACAGCGGCATCATCCTGCAGTCTGGTGAGTGTTGGGGAAATCCCCCTGCCCTGGTCCCTGGCCCTGACTCCTGAGACCTGCATCCCCAGGTGCTAGGGCTGGCGGGGCTGAGACTCCCAAGGACTGAGAGGAAGGGGAGGGAGAGGCCTCTGCTGGGAGGAGGGGGAGGTTCTGGAAGAGCTGGAGCCTCAGGGACATGTGGACTAACTCCCTGGAGAAAACTGGCCTGGAGTTTCGTTTCTATCTGGAAGAGGGATCTGCAGTGTTCCTTTAGCAGACGTTGAGAAGTTGAAAAATCTCATCGGGGCAATGTGAAGTCTTGCCTCTCTGTTTGGCCAGACCTGTGGGCCTAGTCTGGGTAGTCTTGACAGAGGACAAGAAGGAAGAGGCTTGTGTGCGTGTAAGAGAGAGGGGTAGCGGGGAGAGGGAGAGCGTGAGAGAGGAAGAAGAAGGAGAAGAAAAAGAGGAAGACCAAAGGTGGAGTGGAGACGGCAGGGGCAGAACTCCGTTCCTTGCACGCCCTCCACTGTAGGTCACCTGGGGGGACAGCCCTCCCTTCTGAGCTATAACATTTGTGCCTTTGTGCAGAGAAGAGATGTGGTGTTTTGTGGCTGCAATGCCAGCCTGTAATTTGTGGGCAGGCATGTGGTGCGTGTGTGTGTGCGTGTGTGTGTGCGTGTGTGCATGTGTGTTCCCCTAGGGTGGTCAACAAGTACAGAGGAGACTTCCACCCTCAGCCTTCCTGAGCATGTGCCCCCAACCCCTGCAGGCCCTGACAGCCCGGTCTCCCCAATGAAGGAGCTGACCCACGCAGTGCACAAGCAGCAGAGGGCCCTGGAGGCGAGGCTGGAGGCCTGCCTGGAGGAGTTGAGGAGACTCTGCCTGCGGGAGGCGGTGAGGCACCAGCCGACACACACAAGCATGGGGTTCATCTGAGGACCTGTGGAGCCACGTTTGGGGATGCAGGGGCTGGGGAGAGGGACCCCCATTCTTGAGGGAATTCTGGATATCAGGCTGGGGGCTGGGACCCAGAGTCCCCATGACGCAGTGTCAGACCCAGGTGGGGGCCCAGGCACAGAGGACAGAGGTCCTCAGGGGCTGCAGAGGGACAGTGTAGACATAAGTGCATGTGAGTGTTTTATCCGGGTCAGTGTAGCTTCTGATCACTTCGATCAGAAAGAAGTCTGAAGGGAAAGGGGAGGAGGTGCAGAGTGAGCCTTAAGATGGGAGAGATAGCGTGGATGGGATGGGATGGGACGGGTGGAGGGTGGTTGTCCCAGGGCGTCTGCGGAAGGCAGGCACATTTAGTGCAGGGGCCAGTGGCCAAGGCTGCGCAGGTGGAGGGGGCCTGGCTTGACTCTGCTTCCTCCCCAGGAGCTGACGGGCACCTTGCCACCGGAGTATCCCCTCAAACCAGGGGAAAAAGCCCCCAAGGTTCGCCGCAGGATTGGAGCAGCTTACAAACTGGATGACTGGGCCTTGCACAGGGAGGTGAGGATCCTCGGGGGGCTGCCAGTATCCCTCCATCCCCAAGGTTGGTCACTGAGGTGCCACACCTCAGCCCGGTACGCTGGCAGGCTCCCTTCCACCCTCTCACACCCAATGACAGTGCCTGGCTGAGTACTGGCGAGGGGCACTGTGAATGCATAGCCCAGATGGCCATGGAGAAGGGGCGCCACCATGGAACCGAGAGCTGGAAGCTCAAGGGAGGACACTGGGTTTGGCCCTAGTGGGCAGAAGATCAGTTAAGAGCGCCAGCCACCAGCCCAGTGGGCAACAGTCTGCTCAGACAGGTTACTCTGGCCCCTAGGGCTGTCCTCCTTTCTTAGGAGGAGGTGGGGGCACTCAGGCCCCGGGTGCCCTGCCCCGTGGCGTCAATGGCAATAGTTTCCCATGGGCTGGCCTGCCCCACCCTTTGGGGTCAGGAGGGAAAGTGTCCCACTTGGGTTCCCAGCCTGCCCGGTTCAGCAGATGGGCTGGTAGGTGGGTGCCCATGCCAGCTTTTCAGGCTGACAAGTTTGCTCTTCGGCTCCTCCCACCGCTCCACCCTCTGCTCCACGACTGACCGACTGGCCGTGGGTGCTGCTGTCTGCCTCTCTTCTGTCCTCTGGGCTTAGGGCTGGGACCCGGAGCCCTGTGTCAGGGCTGCTCTCTACCCTCGGGGCCTCCAAGCTCCCTGCCTCTCCCTAGCCTCACTCCTGCCCCCTCTCTCAGGACCCCCTAAGCAGCCTGGAGCGCCAGCTGGCCCTGCAGCTGCAGATCACAGAGGCAGCGCGTCGCCTGTGCCTGGAGGAGAACCTGAGCCGGCAGGCCCGGCGGCAGCGGAAGCACTCCATGCTGCGGGAGGAGAAGAAGCTGCAGGAGCTCCAGCGCTGCCTGGTCGAGCGCCGGCGCAACAGCGAGCCCCCTCCCGCTGCCGCGCTCCCCCTGGGCCGAGGTGAGCCCATGGGCCATGCCCCTTGAATGAGCTTTGGAGGGATGGCGGGCGCACAGCCCGGGGCCACCGCCTTTGCATTCGGCTCCAGCTGGGTAAAGCCGCTTCTTGGGTTCACCTCCTCCCCATCCTGACTCTGCGACTTCAGCAAGGCTTCCCCATCCAGTGAGGCCCTCTCCCTGGTCTCCTTAGAAAACACGACTCTTTCCTTCCGCATCCTCCGCAAAATACGCTACCTTCAAGAGACTGCGTAGGCAGAGGTATTTCTCAGCTGACCCTCAGCTGAATCCAAGGTGTATTCAACTGGGTGGCCCAGGCCGGCCCCGCTGCCCTCCAGGCCCACAGGGCGCTGGCCTGTCTGGGTGAGGGTAGTGTGGGGCTCCCGTGAGCCCGAGACTCTGAGCTGATGCGCAGTCCCCTGGCCTGAGTTAGACAGCAAAGGGGTTGACTATCGCTCTGCCTTACTGATCCCTGAATTGTTTCACAATGAAACCCAGCTGCACTGATGCCACACCCCACAGCCCCTCAAGTATCTACGACCACCCTGGTCAAGGGTGGGATCCTTCCACGTGTGTGCTCTGCCCTCCTGGTGTCTGTAGTTCAATCCTGAGCTCCTTGGCCCAGAGCCTGGTGGCCGTGGGGCACCTGGTGAGCTGTCGACGCCCAGGGTCCAGCCACATCACCTCGGCGTGTCCAGCCCAGGTTAGCTTCCAGCAGGTGGTTCTGAGCGCTTAGGTGTGACTCTTCCTTTGTCCTGACCCAAGACCAGCCCATCAGATCAGGACTTGCAGAGCTCCATTCCAGGCTCCACCGCTGCAGGCCCATGACCTAGCCCTGCCCCCAGGTGTCTCACATGGGGCCCAGACCTCCCTGGCTGCCTCGGAGGGAACCAGGAGGGAATGAGGCGTGGCCCTGCAGCAGAATTGGACTCAGAGGTCTCGGCCCTGGCTTGGACAGTGGCTGCTTCGCTCACATTCTCAAGCTTCCATCCCTGCATATTGTGTTAGCGTTTTGCCAAGACTACTCCTCAGCTGGGAACAGTCATGGGGAAGCTGGAAGGTCCTTGCTGGTCCCTGTGCCCTGTGGCCCATGCCTTGGGCAGGGAGTTATCTCAGCACAGGTCTCAGGAGTCCCTGCTCCCACCCATGGCCTCTAATTTAGGGTAGAAAGTGCATGACCAGACACCACCCAGGTCACCTCCCGCAGCCAAGAGTAGGTGATAAAGGAGGAGATGCCTCCGTGTGACAGTTGGCCCAGTAAACTCAGAAGATAATGGGGCTGACCCAGGAAAAATGGCCAGACTTTTGTCTGGTTCCAGTGGTTCTGGCCTGGCCACAGAAAAACACTCCCAGTCTCCGAGGCTCTAATGGAAGACAAGTTCTCCATCCTTGCTCCACTCTCAACAGGGATCCCCAGACTTGACAGCAACCTTCAAAGGTAGCTGCTGATTTGGGCATGGAAGCCCGTAAGGTCCAACTCGCTCTGTGCTTGCGGGAGTGGTCAGGGTGGTGAGATGTGCCAGTTGGTTGCAGCACCTGCTGTTTCCCGCTCCAGCCCCACGCTGCCCAGCAGCCTCCCCTGGCCACCAGTGCTGCGGTTGCTGGGAGCTTCTGTCCATGATGGGTGGAGGAGGAGTGTTACCCCTCTGCTGCCATTGTGATGCATAATGCTTCTTGTTGGGAGTTGGGAGCAAGCCAGGATTGGCCTGGGGCTCTGTGGGAGGCAGGAGGCTGAGGTTCTGACACCTTGGAGCACTTAGCCCAGGTGAAGACAGGGCTGTGGAGAAGAGACACCTGGCGTAGCTGCTGACTTTCTCGAATCAGGCATCAAGACCCCGCTTGCCAAGTTCAGGCCCTGGGATCTAAAGTCCTGTGGTGAGAGCACAGAAGGGGTCAGTTTTAGACAAGTAATTTCTGAGACCTCCTAGAAAGGAGGAAGTAAAGAGGGATTATTAGTAGCTGAGGTGTTTTGAATTAAAAAGGGAAGGCCAGGTGGGGGCTCACACCTGTAATCCCAGCACTTTGGGAGGCCGAGGCGGGTGGATCACAAGATCAGAAGTTCAAGACCAGCCTGGCCAACATAGTGAAACCCTGTCTCTACTAAAAATACAAAAATTAGCCAGCCATGGTGGTGCGCGCCTGTAGTTCCAGCTACTTGGGGAGGCTGAGGCAGGAGAATTGCTTGAACCCGGAAGGTGGAGGTTGCAGTGAGCCAAGATTGCGCTACTGCACTCAGCCTGGGTGACAGAGCGAGATTCCATCTCAAAAAAGAAAAAAAAAAGGGAGAAAAACAAACAAACCAAAAACCCAAACCAAAAAAAAAACCCACCCTGCCCCCTTGGGCTCCATACAAGGGTTATTCAGTTTGGGACAGTAACTGTGCCAGGTAAGAGTTATCAGCCATACTCTGCAGTGGCAGGGAGCGGCCAGGTGTTGAGCTAATTTACCAGGGTGAACCCCTGAGGGCCACTCAGCACCCACCAGTGTAATGGGCTCTCTGGATGCATTTGTTGACCAACAACACCAGCCATTAACAATACCCTTATAGTGTTTTTTTTTTTTTTTTTTTGAAATGGAGTCTCGCTCCGTCACCCAGGCTGGAGTGCAATGGCACCATCTCAGCTCACCGCAACCTCCACCTACCAGGTTCAAGCGATTCTCCTGCCTCAGCCTCATGAGGAGCTGGGACTGCAGATGTGTGCCACCACGCCCAGCTAATTCTATTTTTAGTAGAGACGGAGTTTCACCAAATTGTCCAAGCTAGTCTCAAACTTCTGACCTCAAATGATCCGCCCGCCTCGGCCTCCCAAGTGGTGGGATTACAGATGTGAGCCACTACGCCTGGCCTTCCAGAGCATTTCTCAGATGAGGGAAGTGTTCTGTATCTGTGCTGTCCAATGCAGTAGCCACTCGCCACATGTGACTACAGAGCATTTGAACTGTGCCTGGTGTGACTGAGGAACTGACTTGATTTAATTTTAATGAAAATAGACACATGTGGCTAGTGGCCACTGTATTGGACAGCACAGCCTTGGAGGAGGCTCAGCAGTTGTGAGTATAATCTCTATTTACCTCCGCCTAGGGTGTCCTGCGATGCTGCTGCTGGACAAGGGGATGTTTAGCCAGGGCAGGGTTGGGACAGTGGCTGAGACAGTGAGCAGTTCTCAGAAACTGGAATTTTTTTTTAATTTAATTTTTTTAGAGACAGGGTCTTGTTCTGTTGCGCAGGCTGGAGTGCAGTGGTGTGATCATACCTCACTGCAGCCTTGAACTCCTGGACTCAAGGGATCCTCTTTCCTCAGCCTCTTTAGTAGCTAGGACTACAGGCATGTGCTGTCACACCCAGCAAATTTAAAGAAAAACCACACACACAACTGTTTTAGAGATGGGATCTTGCTGTATTGCCTAGGCTGGTCTCAAGCTCCTGGTTTTAAGCAATCCTCCTGCTTCAGCCTCTGGAGTAGCTGGAATTACAGGTGTGCCTGGACCAATAAAATTCTTTATTTCCAAGGTTTTTATAACAGATCAAAGGCAGGAGACCAGAATTCAATGAGAGGGTGCCTCTTTAATTGAATCCTAAAGCAATGGTTAGTTGTAAGCCAAGCAAAGCATAGGCTGTCTGGCTACTCAGGAGTCAGGCCAGGCTCCAGGCACCATACGAGCTACAAATCTAAGACCTGCTCTGGGTAAAGTTTTTATTTCATTAAATTGCGGTGCAGGCTGGGAATGGTGGCTCAGGCCTGTAATCCCAGCACTTTGGGAGGGCAACCGAAAGGATCTCTTGAGCCCAGGAGTTTATGACCTGCCTGGTCACACACAGGGAGACCCTGTCTCTACCAATAATTAAAATAAACAGATTAGATAAGCATGGTTGTGGGCACCTGTAGTCCCAGCTACTTAGGAGGCTGAGGCAGGAGATTGATTGAACTCAGGGGGTAAAGTCTGCCATGAGCTGTGATTGGGTGCTGGACTCCAGCCTAGGCAACATGGTAGCACCCCGTCTGAAAAAAGTTGTGGAGCAAAGGTTAACATACTTTTCTGTAAAGAGCCAGATAGTACATATTCTAGGCTTTGTGGGCTGTTTGGTCTTTATCACAACTGTTCAACCCTGCTACTGCGGTGATAAACAGCCAGACATTACATAAACAAATTCAGAGCAGTGTTCCAATAAATCTTTATTTACAAAAGCAGCTATCGAACTGGATTTGGCCCCTGGGCCATAGTTTGCTAATCCCTGTTGTAAGGGATTTCAAAATGGTTGGAACTTTTTACTTTTCTTGAAACTTCCTGAGTGATGACCCAAGCATCTGAGATGCAAGCTCGCAGGGGAGAGCCCACAAAGGGTTGTGGTTAAGAGCAGACTCCAGTCAGATTGTCTGGGTGTGAATTCTGACTCAAACACCTTTGGTGAATGTAGAACCTAAACCATGTTACTCAACTCCTCTGAAACGTGGTTTCCTCAACTGTCACTTGCAGTTGATGATATCTACCTTACGTGGTTATGAGAATTACCTAAATGAATATACATAAAGTGCTGTATTTAGAAATATATTGGCACAGTAGAAATATTAGCAATTACTACTTTTTCCTCATCTTCCTTCTCAAACACAGATGAAAATGTTTTGTGAGTTCCATCCAGGTCTCTTCAGGTTTTTTTCTTAAGATCTTAAGGCTTGGCCGGGCGCGGTGGCTCACGCCTGTAATCCCAGCACTTTGGGAGGCCAAGGCGAGTGGATCACCTGAGGTCAGGAGTTCGAGACCAGCCTGGCCAACATGGTAAAATCCCGTCTCTACTAAAAATACAAAAATTAGCCGGGCGTAGTGGTGGGTGCCCATAATCCCAGCTCCTTGGGAGGCTGAGGCAGGAGAATCCCTGAGTCCAGGAGGTGGAGGTTGCAGTGAGTAGAGATCGCACCACTGCACTCCAGCCTGGGCGACAGAGTGAGACTCCATCTCAAAACACAACAAAACGAAAAGATCTGAAGGCTTTAAGTTTGTTCAAGGACAATAACAAAAATGAGTTCCCTCTGCCTTCATAGGTAACAAGTGCTGCTATATCATGCAGAAAAGTCACCCTCCATTTCCTTCAGGTGACTTGCCAGATTACCAAGAACCTTCCCTGGGGCCGGCTGGCCAGACCTTATCTTAAATTAAAATTCCTACTTTGTGTTGCTCTTGTTGGTAATGCAGGAGGTCTCAGATTAGAATCTTTGAATTATATTTGTGACGTGAGATGATTATATAACAGTTGGAGTGAAATTCTCTTTTTTATTTGAGACAGGGTTTCACTCTGTTGCCCAGGCTGGAATGTAGTCACATGATCATAGCTCACTGCAGCCTCGACCTCCCAGGCTCAAGTGATCCTCCCATCTTAGCTTCCTGAGTAGCTGAGACTAGAAGCACACACCATCATCGCTGGTGAATTTTTGTATTTTTTGTAGAGACCAGATTTCACCATGTTACCTAGGCTGGCCTTGAACTCCCGGGCTCAAGCCATCTGCTGCCTTGGCCTCCTAAAGTGCTGAGATTACAGGCTGAACCACCGCGCCTGGCCATGAAATTCTTTTTACCCTATGGGCCTTCCAAAATGACTCTGTCTTCCCTTTCCACTGCCAGGAAGCCCTGCCAGAGGATGTCTTTTTTTTTTTTTTTTTGACAGTTGGGGAAACTGAGGCCTAGAACATTGAAACGGTTTATTCAAGGTTGCATAGCTAATATCAGAGTCAGGATAAACATCAGGTTTCCTATCTCCTAGCCTCTGACTTCTATGTTTTTCTACTTCTATGTAATAGGTTTATAGCCAGGCCAGGCTCAGTGGCTCACACCTATAATCCTAGCACTTTGGGAGGCTAAGGTGAGATGATCACTTGAGCCCAGGAGTTCAAGACCAGCCTGGGCAAAACAGCAAGACCTCTTTACAAAAAATAAAATAATTTAGCTGGGCATAGTAGCTTGTACCTGTGGTCTCAGCTACTTGGGAGGCTGAGGTAGGAGAATCCCTGGAACCTGGGAGGTCAAGGCTGCAGTAAGCCATGATCACACCACTGCACTCCAGTCTGAACAAAAAAAAAAAAAAAAAAAAAAAAAAAAAAAAAAAAAAAAAAAAAAAAAAAAAAAAAAAAAAATCACTCCCAGTGTGTATTTCGCACACAGTGGGTATGTCCTCACAACGATCTGTCCTGGGGGAGTGAGCGGGCCTGAGCGCTCACGACTGCTCATTACTCATATCTGTTTGTTCATTTCTTCACTTCCTTCTCTTCTCTCCCCTTTGACTTTCCCAGAGCTCAGTGCCTCTGATGACAGCTCCCTGTCAGATGGGCTGCTCCTGGAGGAAGGTGAGAACGACATTTGGGGGACTTTTGTCAAGGCTAGACTCCTACTGCAAGACCATGGGGTTTGGGCAGAGTTTGCTGGTGAGGAACTTAAGGGGGAGTGAAGGCAAGGGCGCCAGGCTCCGGGTTTCCGCTTGGACCTCATGTCAATTTCCATGTGCCCCTGCACACGCTTAGTTGAAGATGGCGAATGTGCTGATCTTCTCCCATTCTGGAAGCTCATTGTTTTTACAGGGATAGGAAAGATAAACTCTAAGAGAGCTGATGAACCCCAGATGTCCCTCCTTCACCCTGGGGTTTGATTTGAAGATGCACCAGTCAGAGCCAGAGAGCAATCTGCCCACAGTCATTGCCCTTTTTGACAAGAAGGGAGCACTGGGGGAGCAAACACAAGTCTAAAGATTAAGAACCCTGTGTATAAACCCTGAGGATGCCAGGGTCAAGGTGGATCAAGAAGCTGTTACAGTCCTGCCCAGGGGAGTGCCCAAGCCAATAAGGAAATAGGCCATATGGGCATGGCAGGAACAAGAAAAACAGATAAACAAAAGATAACTGCAGACATGGTACTAGGAACAAAGGTTAGAAAGTGGAGCACTGTGAGCCCAAGAGAGTCAATCTGGGAGGCTTCTTGAAGGAGGAAGGCATAAAATAGGACTGTGAGGGAAGGACTAAGTCCTACAGGAAAAGAAAACATGTTTGAGCATCTGGGGCTGGAGCCATGGCCTGGAGCAGCCGCACAAGCCGGCCATGGGAGGAAGAGCGCGGCACGGACTGTGGTTTGTGGAGGTTCTTGTTGGGCCGGTTCCCCCAGCCTCTGCCCTTACCAGGTTTCTTTTACTCCTGCAGAGGAATCCCAAGTGCCAAAACCTCCTCCAGAGTCCCCAGCTCCACCTTCTCGGCCTCTCCCACCCCAAACCCTTGAGGGTCTGCAACCAGCAGCACCTGAGTCTGGGGGCCTGGAACGGGCTCCAGTCCAGAATAGCCCCTGGAAAGAGACCAGCCTGGACCACCCCTATGAGAAGCCGAGGAAGTCTTCTGAGCCCTGGAGCGAGTCCAGGTCAGGATGCAGGGGGCAGGGGGGAAGGGAGAAGGAGAGGCTGGGAGTCAGAGGGGAGCTGTGCTGGGGATGGCCATGGGCTGGGCAGATGGAAGAGCGGAAAGGTGGAGGAGATAGCTCCTGCAGTTGTGTGATGGAGGGGTGCACCCCAGCAGTTCCGCAGGGGTGCTGGCAGTTTGCCACACTAACTTTGGGAGCCCCTTCCAATGTGTCCCCATTCTTTTGTAGCTCTTGAGCCCCTGAATGGAGACATTCCTGCCACTGACCTGTCTCTAATCCCTTTGCAGCAGCCCGGCCACCACACCACAGGATGGGCCCAATGCTTCCAGCCTGTGGCTTCTGGAGCCTGCCTCCTACCACATGGCTCCCATCTGTGGTGTTCCTGGCCAGTGGCAGGGTCGCACCAGTGCCCCAGCCACCCCCGAGATGCAGGGCAGGAGGGGCCAGTCGCAGTCTCTGAGGTAAGAGACAGCTTCCCCAGAGAGATGGGGGACCCATGTGGAGCTTACGGTTGAAGGGTGGGAGCTCCTAGGACACAGGTGGGACAACCGTGAGTGACACATGGCTAGTGCCTTGCCTTCTCTTGGGATATCTTCTTGGGGGCACCTCTCAACAGAGACTGCATTGCAACCTGCAAAGCCAAAGGCCATCCACAAAGCAAGTTGTTTTCTTCCAAAGACCCTAGTTTTGTCTTTTTGCATAACTTGATTGACATGTTCTACCCTTGCCATGTTTCTTGGTGCTGGTAGATTATTATTAGTCACTGACAATAGGCAATTCACTTGTTCAATTGACGTAGAGTGGCTTCTCATTATTTGTGGTAGTTGCGTTCTATAAAATTGACGCAAACCCTGAATTAGCAAATACTGAACCATTGCCCCTGGGGAAATAGAGGTGCCTATGAGCCCTCGCTGACAACATTTTCCATCAACTGATTAATATATAACCTTGTGTTATGTGAGTTTCTGCTTAAAGACATCTTACTTAATATGGATTGTTGATTCATTAACTCGTGGCCAACAGCACTGTAATTCATACCCAGATGAAGCTTACCTAGCAGACATATTTTCTCCAAAAGGCACATCACGGCCTTTTCCCAATAGGCCTTACGAAGGAACAGCTGACGGCACTTTAGCACTATATTTGTGGCCATTTTAAATAGCAGAATCACCAATCAAAGCAAAAAACATACACTGAGGCTGAGGCAGGAGAATCGCTTGGACCAGGCAGGTGGAGGTTGCAGTGAGCCAAGATCGTGCCTCTGTCACTGCACTCCAGCCTGGGCAACAAGAGTGAAACTCTGTCTCAAAAAAAAAAAAAAAAAAGCCTGGGCGTGGTGGGAGGCTGAGTCAGGCAGATCACGAGGTCAGGAGTTCAAGACCAGCCTGATCAACATAGTGAAACCTGTCTCTACTAAAAATACAAAAATTCTCAAGCCTGTAATCCCAGCACTTTCGGAGGCCGAGGCGGGTGGATCACGAGGTCAAGAGATCGAGACCATCCTGGTCAACATGGTGAAACCCCGTCTCTACTAAAACTACAAAAAATTAGCCGGGCATGGTGGCGTGTGCCTGTAATCCCAGCTACTCAGGAGGCTGAGGCAGGAGAATTGCCTGAACCCAGGAGGCGGAGGTTGCGGTGAGCCGAGATCGGGCCATTGCACTCCAGCCTGGGTAACAAGAACGAAACTCCGTCTCAAAAAAAAAAAAAAAAAATACAAAAATTAGCTGGGCATGGTGGTGCATGCCTGTGACCCCTAGCTACTCAGGAGGTTGAGGCAGGAGAATTGCTTGAATTTGGGAGGCAGAGGTTGCAGTGAGCTGAGATCACACCATTGCACTCCAGCCTGGGTGACAGAGCAAGACTCATTTCAAAAATAATAATAACAATAATAAAATAAATAAATAAATACATGTTAACAACTAGGCCAACTGCAAATACTGAATCTGCAAATAATGAGAATTGACTGTATGTTATTTTCTCAAACTCCCGACCTCAGGTGATCCGCCTGCCTTGGACTCCCAAAGTGCTGGGATTACAGGCATGAGCCACCCTGCCTGGCCTGGCTGTATGTTATTTTCTAAGTCATCTGCTAGTTGGTAATAGTTTAAATGGCTGAGTGTTGACAGGCAGTATTGGCCATACCATATGGGGGCTGGGGCACCATGAAGGCATTGCTGAATTCTCCACCAGCTTAAATTTGCTGGTCAGGCAGCACTGAACCTGGTGCAGCCGGGGATAACTGCTCTCCAGTAGAGCAATGAATTTTTTTTAATTTTTAATTTTTTTTGAGACAAAGTCCTGCTCTGTTGTCCAGACTGGAGTACAGTGGTGTGATCTTGGCTCACTCCAACCTCTGCCTCTCAGGTTCAAGCAATTCTCCTGCCTCAGCCTCTTGAGTAGCTAGGATTACAGGCATGCACCACCATAAGCCAATGGATTTTATATTTTACATGCTCCCAGGGCCTTTTTACAAACCATGCCTCTGTGCAAATTAGGAACAGTGGACACAGCCCCATATGTGGGTGCATTGGCAGAGTGAAGTGGAGCCTGGATTTCAGCCCTTGCTGGTCCTGGGCTGCATGCACCTGCTCTAGACTGGTAGCGTTTACACGTTCAAGTCAGATACCTGACAGTGCCTACCAAACAGATGCTGTGGATGATATGCCACTGGACACGGTGTACCTAAGCTGAAAGTACTTAATGTAGTACTTTAAGTGCTTCACGGCTGGGCGTGGTGGCTCACATCTGTAATCCCAGCACTTTGGGAGGCCTAGGCGGGCAGATCACGAGGTGAGGAGATCAAGACCATCCTGGCCAACATAGTGAAACCCCGTCTCTACTAAAAATACAAAGAAGTTAGCTGGGCGTAGCAGTGTGCACCTGTAGCCCCAGCTACTTGGGAGACTGAGGCAGGAGAATTGCTTGAACCAGGGAGGTGGAGGCTGCAGTGAGCCGAGATCCTGCCACTGCACTCCACCCTGCTGACAGAGCGAGACTCTGTCTCAAAAAAAAAAAAAAGTGTTTCATGCCCTATTTGATGTAGCACACTTTATACAAATTACAAGCTTGTGAATGCATCAGGAACACATCTGCACACAGTGAGGGAGTGCCTTGCACCCACACAGCCCAGCAGAGGGATTGTTGGTTTGCTTTGGGAGATTTGACCTAAGATCCTTGCATGAGGGCCGTGCTTGGGCATTGACGCAGAGCAGGACTCACCTGTTTTAACTCCACCCTCCAACCTCCCACACTCAGAATGCCTCTCTTTCCCTCTTCAGGGTGGATTCCTTCCGGGCGGGTCCGGAGGGCCGAGGGCGCAGCGCCTTTCCCCGCCGCCGCCCCACTCACTACACGGTGACAGTGCCAGATTCCTGCTTTCCCCCGACCAAGCCCCCGCTGCCCCATGCCCCACACGCCGCCTGCCACTCCTGCTCAGAAGACAGTGGCTCTGATGTCTCCAGCATCTCCCACCCCACCTCGCCCGGCAGCAGCAGCCCCGACATCTCCTTTCTGCAGCCTCTCTCCCCTCCCAAGACCCATCGCCACCGCGGGGCCTGGGGCCCGGCTGGCAGCAGAGAGCTGGCCGCCTACCACCCCAAGCTGCTGCTGCCCCCTGGCTATTTCCCGGCGGGGCGGTACGTGGTGGTGGCGGAGAGCCCCCTGCCGCCTGGCGAGTGGGAGCCGTTCCGCGCAGCCCCGGGCCCTGCCTACGAGGAGGACGGCGCTCCCCTGCGCTACCAGCTGCTGGTGCCCTCCCGCAGCCGCATCGTGCGGACGCCTTCCCTGAAGGACAGCCCGGCGGGCCGGGGGCTCAGCAAGGCCGCTGTGTCCGAGGAGCTCAAGTGGTGGCACGAGCGCGCACGCCTCCGGAGCACCCGCCCCCACTCACTGGACCGCCAAGGGGCTTTCCGGGTCAGGAGCCTGCCCCTGGGGAGAGAGGGCTTCGGGCGAGCCCTGGGACCCCGGACGCAGGTATGGCTGCTCTGGAGGGACCCTGGAGCCAGGCAGGGGGGGGTGTCTTGCTGGGGAGGGGCCGCAATTCTAGCAAGTCCAAGGGCAGGGAGGTATCAAAGCAGCAACCTAGTGGTCGGGTAATCCCCAGGTAGGAAGAACAGGCCAAAAATCATTTCCTCCTGGCTTTGGAAGGCACTCTTGGCTTCCCTGAGGCACCTCCTAATTTTGCCGGCCGTGTCCAGCTCAAGAGCAAATACACTGGTGGAGATGATCCCCGAAGATGGCTGAGACTTCTTCCCTCCCTAAATGATGATCACAAAGCAGACAAGCCTCTTCATAATCAAAAGTCCAATCCAAATCAGCCCCTCAAATGTCCATTTGAAGGTCTAGGACAAAGGGAGAGTAGGAAATGTGTTGCAGAAGCCAGACCCTGTGATTTTCTGTGCATCAGTGTCCTCCCTGACACCCCTCCTCAGCACCAAGCTGAGAAGAAGGGTGGTATCAGAGTTAAGAGCACCCACCCTCGGCGGGGCATGGTGACTCATGTCTGTAATCCTGGCACTTTTGGAGGCTGAAGCAGGCAGATCACCTGTGGTCGGGAGTTCGAGACCAGCCTGCCCAACATGGCGAAACACCATCTCTACTTATAATACAAAAAAATTAGCCGGGCATGGTGGCAGGTGCCTGTAATCCCAGCTACTCAGGAGGCTGAGGCAGGAGAATCTCTTGAACCCGGGAGGTGAAGATTGCAGTGAGCCAAGCTCACACCACTGCACTCCAGCCTGGGCAACAAGGCCAGTTTTTTTGAAGCTGTCTCAAAAAGAAAAAAAAAATGTGTACCGACCCTCAAGCTAGACCACCAGATTCAAATCCCAGTTCTGCCACTTAGGAGCTGTATGACTGGGCAAGTTACTTAACCCCTTTGGACTTAACTCTTTCCTCCCCTGTGAAATGGAAGCAGTAGAGCGCCTGTGTCACAGGGCTGCCAAGAGGCAGAAATCATTAGAGCAATGCACGTGAAGCACTAGATATATGACATTACTATCGTCTGGGGCCGCAGAGGCCAAGGTGCAGGCTGGGGTTAGTACAGATGATAGAGCACTCTGATACTGGGTAGGGTAGCAGCCTTGGTTTCCTTGGCCCCTATTTCTTCATTCTGGAAGTGGGGACTCACACACAGGAATCCTTTCTTCATTCTTTCTCCCTGGTACGGAGGGCTCTGCAGGGGACGTGCTCCAGAAGTTACCAACAAGCTGCTTCTTTGAGACCCCAGGTTCCCAGCAGGCCCAGCTGCGTGTCCCTCCCCCACCCACGGTATTCTGGGCTGCAGCTGGCATCCTGGGCCTGGCAGCATCCTGGCCCCAGTCCCAGGCCTCACCCTCTAGCTGACGTGCTTTTCCCTTCCTGCACGCTTGGGCCTGTCCTTGGCTGGATAGACCCAGCCCATCCCAACCTGCCAGACAGGGAGGGTGATGAGAAGTGAGCGCAGGAAACGTGGGGAGGAGGAGGTCAGGGCGCCTGTCACACCCCAAAGGAACCTGGAGGAAAATGTGTAAAGGGGGATCCCTGAAGGACAGAGCCTCCTGGGGAGGAAGGGGCTGAGTGTCAAGGCCTGCTGCTGCTGCTGGTCAGGGTCTCTAAGGGATAAGGATGGTGTAGCTGTACCTACTGTCCCTGCTTTTCTGCCTGGTTCGTTTACCCACATCTCCTTTCTTCCTGACCCTGGCAGGTGCCCACAGTGTGTGTGCTGCGGAGATCGCCTGACGGGGCCCCTGTGCAAGTCTTTGTACCTGAGAAAGGAGAGATCATCAGCCAGGTGTAACTCTGTGCCCCACGCTGGAAAAGACTGTTTCACGGAGGGGCTGGGCTGAGACCCCCACCCCTGAGTGCCTCTTTCAGCTCCCCCATCCCCATCGCAGGCCGATGACCTGGAGCTGAGACTTTTCATTTTGTTTTTTTTACAAGACTTTTTTCAGAAGCCCTGACCTAAGGATTTATATATGTGGATCATCCTCAAGATCCCCGTGATATGATTATGCTTTATCCCCCAGAGTTCGGCCTACTGGACTTAAGGCCTTGCCTGTCTGACTGACAGCATCTGTCTTCTTAGGCAAGACAAGTGGCAGGGGACACGTGAAGCAGAGTGGGCCACCTTGGGAGTTCTCCAACGCTCTGTGTTCTGGTTCTAAGAACTTCCCTGGAGAACTGCCCCGGTCCTCCTGTGCCACTATTGCTGGAGGCTGGATATGGTACATGCTCATGCACATGACTGTCCCCCATGTCCCAGGTCTGTGGGTGCCCAGGCCTGGGCTGGGGGAGAATCCCTTTCCCCTTTCTAATGTGCTCTGTGATGCACACCAAGTGGGAGGCCAAAGGTCAGTATATCCTGGTGGTGTATTGTCTTGGTAGACCGTGCTATTTTCCTGACCCCATAAATCCTCTTTAGGGACCCAGTCACTACACCCTGTCTATGCCCCTTGGGCTCCCAGACTTCTGAGCTTTGAGTCGGTGGCATCACAGATTGTAGCCTCAGGGGGTCCGGCTGGGGGCTGGCCCATAGTGGTGGTTAGTGGACAGCAGCCACCCTTCGACAGCCACCTCTGGGCATCTTAAGGGCTTGCAGCCCCACTGCTCCTTCTAACATTTTATTTGTTTGTTTGTTTTTGAGATGGAGTATCACTCTGTGGCCCAGGCTGGAGTACAGTGGCAAGATTTTGGCTCACTGCAACCTCCGCCCCCGGGGTTCAAGAGATTCTCCTGTCTCAGCCTTCTGAGTAACTGGGATTACAGTCACACGCCACCATGCCCGGCTAATTTTTGTGTTTTTAGTAGAGATACGGTTTTGTCATGTTGGCCAGGCTGGTCTCAAACTCTTCACCTCAAGTGATCCGCCCACCTCGGCTTCTCGAAGTGCTGAGATTACAGGCGTGGGCCACTGCACCTAGCCCTTCTAACATTTTTTCATCATAGTCCTAAACACCAATTCTTTACAAGTGGTTTTGGAAAGGCACCACTTTTGTGGCATGTTCTGGTTGGGGAAGAGGGTCACAGCTCAGCTGTGGTTCTGCTCTGAGAAGGTGCTTATTTATACAAACAGGGGCATACACCCTCCCAAGCACTGATGAGATGCTGAATCTTCTTTGAGGGCATTCATTCATTGCCCCAGCTGCAGCAACGGGAGCAAGTCTGGAAGCTGCCTGTGCTGAGATTACCCAGCAGTCCCTGGGTTCTCATCCTAGGGCCTTCTTTGCTTCCGGGTCAGGGGTCCTGCTTCAGTGAGAAAGCAACTGAGTTGAGGCTAGGAGGGGTAGGGAGAGCGGAGTTCTGACTTTACCTGTGCAGAACTCTCTGCCCCGTGTTACCTGGACTGGAATGGACTGTGAACACACCAGAAGGCTCCAAGAACTCTGTGGCCTGACTGAGAAGAGGCCCAGTTCTCCCTACTGGAAAGAAGACAGTGTAGCCCAGTGCACAAGGGTGCTGAGGGAAGACCTAGGATGGCCCATCAAGGAGCCTGGGGGAGGACGAGGGAGGCTGAAGGGATCTACCTGGCATTTCTCTCCCTGTGCTCTTACCACATCAGCAGCCCCCACCTTTTGGGCTGACCCTGGTCCTGTGTGTGAATGCCCTGCTTGGATGCTGTGCTCTTCCGGCTTGTCTCTAACTCCTTTCCCCAGGGCATGATGGTTTCCCTGGCCCCTCAGCGTCCTCACCACAGCCCAGAGCGCCTTGGTCTGAGCCAGGAGACTGCTGAGCCATGGGCCCCCATCCCTGATCGTCCTTTACATTAACTTATTGGTCCTGTATAACACCTGGTGCCGTTGCCAAGTGGCTGTGTCCGTCCTCAGCCACAGGGCTGGGACTGTGTGGGGGTTAGTGCCAAATACTTCAATAAAGTCTGTTGTGATTGGCTGAGTTGAGGATGAGGGAGTTTGTGTGTGTGTGTGTGTGGGGGGTGTTGTGTGCCAAGTTTCTTGAGCAGAGGCTGAGCCCAAACCCTTGGGCTGCCTGCTAAGGTGGCCGAGTTCCCGGGTCCCTCCAGCTGGTCTGGCCAGGTCCCTGGGGAGCTGGTGTCATGGGTGGGGTTGTAGAAGGAGGCTCTCAGATTCTCTGCTTCCGGGGCAGGGTGGAAGCCAGCACAAACCCTGTCAAAGCTCCTGACGGCCTCCTCTTCAGCCTGAAGAGCAGGCCTCTGGGAGTCACTTCCCCTAGCCAGGCAGAGGGTAGAGATGGCTGGATCAGTGCCTCCAAGCCACTCCTGGAGCTTGGACTGCCCGGAGCCCAGGCTCATGAGAAGCAGCCCCTTCTCCAAACCTGGAAGACTGAGGCCCCTCCTTGGGGGGTGGGGAGGCGGGGCTCTCCGCAGGCCCCTCCCCCATCGCGGCAAGCCCACGCCCCTCCACTGCATGCGGTCTCACTGCCGCCGGGTAGGGGGCGCCACCTTGGACCCTTCCATGCCTGTCCTGTAGGGGCCTCTCCAAGGCCTCGGAGCACAGTGCCCCCTAGAGAGGCTGTGCCGGGACCTGAGGCGCCGGCTTGTCAGGTGAAGGGGGTCCCTCTGCCCGAGGGGGACAAGGAAAGGGCGGGGCAGAGCACGGAGAGCCCGGGCCCTGGCCGCAGAAGGGACGCCTCCAGCCCTGCCTGGGTGCAGCCCTGGGGGCCGCAGGGATCTGGGGGCCTCCGGGGTCTGGGGCGCACCATTCTGGGGGAAGGCCGGTGGGGAAGAGAGGCGGCTCCAGGGTTTCTGGAGAAGTTGTGGGGCACCCTGACCCCAGACCTGAGCCCTTCCACCTATGACTTGTGGGGAATCGGGCGCCGGAGTCTGTGTTTTAGATGGTGGTCAGTTAGGCCCAGGGGAGCCTGGCAGGGTGGGCGAGTTCCCAGGGAATGACCCGTCCGAGGGGCGGCTCCCAGCGACAGGACCGACAGAGACCCGCTAACAGCGGGGATACAAAGAGACGGACGCAGGGACAGAGCAAGGCCCCTTAAGGCAGTGAGCGATGAGACGCGCCCGTTTGGGGACCCGAAATGCTGGGGGTGAGAGAACCAGGTTGTCCACGAGCAGGCTTCCCTGGGCCATGTCTGGGAGGGGCAGGCATGTGGGGGCTCTTAGCTTGCCTACCATAGGGCAGAAGCGAGGTTAAGAATTAGGGAGTGGGGACAGAAGCCTCTGGGAAGAAGTTGCTTTGGGGCTTTAGCAGCAAGACTCCCAAAGGCAATTTGGCCTGGAAGAGGGACTTGAAAGGCCCCTGTGACCTGGAAGCTCCCTGTGGGTCTGAGATTCCCTACACAGGGAGATCCCAGGATGGAAGACTCCTAGGCAAGTCCGGAAGGACCAGGGCCCTTCAGAGGGTCCTGAATCTTCCCCTGGGGAAGAAATGAGAAGCTGACCCTGGGACTCGGCACTGGCCCTGCTCAGCCAATTCCTTTCGTGGTAAATGGGCAGGATCTGCCTCGGGCAGCTTGCCCCTGGAGAGGCTGCATCCCTAGGAAGGACTGTCTCCTGCCTGGCCTGCCCACCATTCTCGTCGCAAGCCGCAGTCTGCCACCCCAAGCGCACAGATGAATCCGAGTTCTAACAAGCGAAAACCAAGCAGAGTAAACTTTGATCCATCGACATCACAAGTCTCTTGGAAGTCCAACTTAGCAGGTGAGCAGTTGGTCCTGTCTCTCAATTAGCTGCAGGGTGCTCAGAAGTGGTGGTGATTGCCCACGCCCTCCCTTGAGGTATACTTAATGGGCGCACATCTGCCCACTTCTGGCTACCCCGTTACAGCTCTAGACTCTGCATGCCTGTCCTTTCTCAGGCCTGCCTCCCTGAGAAGCCTGGAGCTGGGCCAGGAACAAGACATTGTCTGAGACTTTGAGCGACACCTCCTCTTTACTCCCAACCCCATGCATGTTCTGTTCCCCATACCGATTAATGGCAACTCAATCTTCCCAGCGTCTCAAGGCTGAGATTCTTGACTTCTCTCTCTGGTACTCACATCTGGCCCATCAGCTACTCCTGTTGGTTCTACCTTCAACATGGATCCAGAATCTGACCATTCGCTTCTAAGCACTTCCCTTGGTATGAACCACCGTCGTCTCTCCTCTGGCTTATTGTCACAGCCTCCCAGCTGGTCTCTTGCTTCTGCCTACACCCCATGCCATTCTCCACCTCTGCTCCTGATCTATTCTCAACTCAACAGCCAGAGGGCTTTTTTTTTTTTTTTTTTGAGACGGAGTTTCGCTCGTTACCCAGGCTGGAGTGCAATGGCGCGATCTCGGCTCACCGCAACCTCCGCCTCCTGGGTTCAGGCAATTCTCCTGCCCCAGCCTCCTGAGTAGCTGGGATTACAGGCACGCGCCACCATGCCCAGCTAATTTTTTGTAGTTTTAGTAGAGACGGGGTTTCACCATGTTGACCAGGATGGTCTCGATCTCTTGACCTCGTGATCCACCCGCCTCGGCCTCCCACAGTGCTGGGATTACAGGCTTGAGCCACCGCGCCCGGCCCAGAGGGCTGTTGTTAAGCAAAGTCAGGCCGCTTTTATTCAAAACCTGCCCGGGGCTCCCATCCCCAAAGCCAATCAGCTTTACAACCAGTCCCTCATGACGTGCCCATTACTGCCCTGCCTTCACCTCCCACCACTCTTCCCTGCTCCTCCGCTCCAGGCATCCTGTCTTTCTTGCTGTTCCTCGAGCTTGCTAGGCATGATCCTGCTTCTGGGCCTTCATATTTGCTGTTGCCTTAGCTTAGAATGCTCTCTCACCAGATATATAAATGGCTTGCCATTCACGTCCTTCAAGCCCACTCAGATTCAATGAGATTTTCTTTGACTTTTGTGTATGTACATATACAAACCTATATGGGCAAATACAAAACAAAGAAGGGTAGTTTTCCCAGCACAGTGTTCGAGCTCTAAGGGTAAAAAAAAATAATAATAATAATAAAAAAAAAAGAAGAAGAAAAAAAAGAAGGGTAGTTCCTGTGAAGGAACTCCCTGGTGTGTAAGAAGCTCTGTGACAGCAAAGATTATTGTCTCTTTTTTTTCACTGATGTGCCTAGGAGAGTCCTTTTACATAGTAGGTGCTCAATAATTGTATGATGAAGAATGCACTTATTGATTTCCTATTATATGCCAGGAAGTATTCCAACATTTTTTTCACATGTTAATTCATTTAAATCCACAACAGTAATAGATACTGTGATGATCCCCAGTTTAAGATATCAGAACTGAAGCTTTGGGGAATTTAATGTGCTCAAGATCACCTCTTACATGTATTAAGACTCATTTTTGTTTGGGCATGGTGGCTCACGCCTGTAATCCCAGCACTTTGGGATGCCGAGGCAGGCAGATCACAAGGTCGAGAGATCGAGACCATCCTGGCCAACATGAGGAAATCCCGTCCTATTAAAAATACAAAAATTAGCTGGGCGTGATGGTGCGCACCTGTAGTCCCAGCTACTCGGGAGCCGAGGCAGGAGAATCACTAGAACCCAGGTGGTGGAGGTTGCAGTGAGCCGAGATTGCACCACTGCATTCCACTCCAGCCTGGCGACAGAGGGAGACTCCTTCTACAAAAAAAAAAAAAAAGACTCATTGTTCATTTAATCCTCAAACAATAACAGATACTATTATCTTCCCTGTCATACAGATGGGGAAAGTAAAGTAAAGTTGACAAAATTTAATTTGCCAAAGATCACAGAGGAGCTGAGTTTTGAACTCATGTGCTTTGGTGCCACAGCCATTGTGTGTAGCTCCGTGCTTTGGCTCCAAGTCCTATTGCAAGGGGCTTTGCTTGTAGGGCAATATGAGAGGGAAGCAGCAACTTGAACTCAGGACCGTGGCCCATGTTGCTTTGGAGCCCAGTGGTGTCACCAGATCCTTCCTCTTGCTTTACCTCCTCCCGACTCCACTTGGGTGAACAGGCTCTATTCCTGGCCTCAACCGTCAGGCTCAGGGAGACATGCCTGAAGGCTGTGCCGGTCCAGTTGGCACAGAAGCTTCCTGGGCTGACTTGGGGTTTCAAGTCCACTCACAATCAAAACTTTCAAAGGCAGTCTAGGACAGCCCTAGAGATCTGTGGTCACTGGGAGTGACTTAAAGGTCTCTCTCCTCCCAATGGTTCTTCCATCCCCGGCCATGCCTGATTCAGAAAATATCTTAACTAAGTCCCCACATGATGACCTTTCCACTTTGGCTTCATTGGCCTAGAGAAGTTGGTTCTGGGAACCCTGGTAGCTTCTGAGCCTTCTTGGTGGACAGGAAGGGAGGGGAGAGGATGGCTCTGCTTCCTGTTCCATCTGGTGGAATCAGCTGAACTCCCCAACTCCATCCCTTTTCAGGATTGCGCCAATCAGAAAGAGAAGCCTGTGAGTTCATAGTGAAATTTCTAGAAGAAGAACATATGGTAAGAAACTTCTCTGATCCTTTTTGTGAACTGAGGAGGAAAGTAGAAAAAAAAAAGAGAGCTTATGCCTCTTGGGTTTTGGGTACTAGCCCTGGCTTGGAAGCCACCAGATACTCAGCCCGTTGTTGCCTCCTGACCAGGTAGATCTTAGGTAACTAGACCACTGGACTGGGTGTCTGGGGCTCAGATCTTGCAGTTCCCTACCTGTAGGAAGGATCTTCATCAGAGATCCCTACCCCACTGTCCCCCAGAGCCCTACATGGGCGGCCAGACATGGATGAGCAGCAGTCCTGGGGACAAGGACATTGTGCTGAGAAAATCGAGTGAGCAATCCATCCTGCAGCCTAGTTGATCAGAATCTGGGCTGGGTGTGAGGGGCAGGGGTGGGATGCAGGTCTCAGGTGCTGCCTATGGGTGGAGCTAAGGGCTGAGGCCCAGCTTATGGGCAGCAGTCTGTGTATTGTGTCCTAGTCCGAGTTCACCAAGCTGAAGTTCCTGAGGGCTGTGGAAACCTTGAGTTG